TACAAATGGTTAATGCGGTGTGCGTGCGCTAGTCACTCACTTGAACATCCTGCCCCGCCTAGGCGCGCTAGACGGCTAGTGCCACTTTCAACTGCTCCAGCGCTCTAATGGCCTCATCCATAAGCCGATTTGCCATTTTTTCTCGGAATGCAGCGGTATGGAGCCCTGTTGCCGAACGTTTGACGGTGCGTGGTTGTGGAATGGTGGCTGCAGTCGGATTGTAGCGATGGGTAGCGGCCTGGGTAGGTGGGTTGGGACGATCGCGAGCGTTTGAGCGGGAGGCCGGTGTCGGAGGTGTTTGAGTTGGAGGTGCGGTGGTACGGCGATGTGGCTGTGGTGGCGGCGGGGCCCGATGAAGCATCGTGTGGTGCGGCAGTGCACATATCCTGCACGTGATCTGGGATGTGCATTCGCTGGTAGCGTGCGACAGTGCCAGACAGTTGGTGCAGTAGTTATGGGCCCGCGCCAACAAGTACCGCTGCGCTGGCTGCATCCTTCTAAAGAGCGGGCATGTTCGTAGCGCGTGGTGACGCGCGCAAACTCGGCACTTCTGATAATCAGGGTTTGGGCGCCCCCCGCGGTCGCTAGCGGCCACAAACACCTGCGAGCGGAGTGAAGTTCTTGGTGCTGGTGTGGGTGCTGAATCCATTCACGCCTGTAAATAGTTGGGTAGATATATAATTTTAGTGGGACGTATATCGAGTATCGTGGGTCATGAGACAGAGAAGTATATAATTGTTATTTTGGGGAAAAGGCGCGTATGGTGATTGAAGGCGAGACAAGTTTACGATCAAGCGGTTTGTGGCATAAGTGGTACAGAATCATGATGATGGTGTAGGGTTACTCGGTCGCATTGGGACTGAGTGGAAGTTCGGCCGGTGGCAAAAAACATAATTTAACTATCGGCCGTGTGAGAATGCCGGTTTGAGTGCGTACCTCGACAACACGAATGTGGCCATCGGGGCCGGGCCGTGTCCTTTCGATGCGTCCGAGGCGCCACTCAGTGGGCGGAAGCGTATCGTCGTTGATTAGGACGCACTCGCCGACTTTCGGCTCAATACGGGTGTCTTTCCATCGGTGCCGTTTGTGCAGGTCCTTGAGATAGTCCTCTTTCCATCGTCGGCTTAACTGATGGTGTAGAACTTTGACCTTTTCCCACCGATTGAGTAGAGATAAGTTTTCATGGTTCGATTCAGGAAGAGACAACAGGGGAGATCCCTTAAGGAAATGCCCGGGGGTGAATGCGGTAAAATCTGAGGGGTCCTGAGATAGGGGAGAGATGGGTCGTGAGTTTAACACGGCTTCTATTCTGATTAATAGGGTGGTAAACTCTTCGAAAGTGAATTTATGTGATCCGGCAGTCTTCTTGAGATGCGTTTTGAAGCTTTTGACTGCGGATTCCCATAAACCACCCATATGAGGGGCGCTGGGGGGAATAAATTTCCAGTTTATACCTTGAGCGGCATATTTTTTGACGATTTCCCGGGATACTTCTTTCGAGAAGGTGATAAACTCCTTCTCAGTGGCTCTTTTGGCACCGACAAAGGTTTTGCCGTTGTCACTCATCATGGTGGCGGGATAGCCTCGCCGGCCAACAAAGCGAGCAAATGCAGCCAGAAAGGCCTCTGAAGTTAAATTCGAGCACAACTCAAGGTGAACCGCTTTTGTCGTGAAGCATACAAAAACGGCCACGTAGCCTTTCACGAGGGTGGGCGATCTTAGCATGGAAGCCTTCACCTGAAAGGGGCCAGCAAAATCAACACCCGTTGTGGTGAAGGGCGGAGCGAAGGTGCATCGTGAGGGTGGCAAGGCTGCCATTATTTGTGAGCGCATTTGCTGCTTGTGGACAGTGCAGGGTTTGCATTGAAAAATGCACTTTTTTATGAGTGGCTTGAGCCGAGGGATATAAAACTCCTGTCTGATCGCCTGCTGCATAAGACGGGTTTCGGCGTGCAAGAGCAGCTCATGCAGGAAGCGTAAAAAGAGAGCAGCATATCGGGATTTCTCGGGAATAATGATGGGGTGGCGTTCATTGTAGCTTAGCGTTGAGTGCGCCAGTCGACCGTTCACACGTAGAAGTCCATCTTTGTCCAGAAATGGGTTTAAGGTGAGAAGCGGGCTCCGTTTATCGATCGGCTTCGAAGCTAACAAATTCCTCTTTTCATTGGAGAAATATCGAGATTGAGTTAAGGCGATGAGCTGGACTTTAGTGTTTCGGAAGTCATCGTGCGCCAGAGGTAAAGGGTGAACTATTACGTGGCTTGTTCGGGTTTTCAGAGTCCGTATGAATCGAAAAACGTGAGTCAAAACCCGGAGTGCGCGTGGGAAGGAGGAGAAACGATCCAGAATGTCGGGTTCTTCTTCGGTGGTGTGTAACGCTTCAATTCGGCGTACTTCGGGTGGATTGTTGATTGTGCATCGTGAAGCTTTCGGCCAAGATTCCGCGGGGCTGGTGAGCCATTCCGGACCCTTCCACCACAGTGAGCAGGCTGCCAAGTCGAGAGGTTTACATCCTCTTGTACCCATGTCGGCGGGATTATCGTGAGTTCGTACATGCCGCCAGGTGGCATTTCCGACCAGATCGATTATTTGCGCGATTCGATTCGATACGAAGGTTTTCCAGGTATGGGGTGGCTTTTCCAACCATGAGAGCACAATTTCGGAGTCAGACCACAAAATCAAAGCTTGCGGGTGGAGATTGAGCTGAGATTGGACGACCGACACTAGTTTGGCTAGAAGAAGGGCTCCACATAGTTCGAGACGTGGTAAGCTGGTGGTTTTTAGGGGCGCCACTTTGCCTTTAGAGACTAGGAGGTGACACGTTGTGTTTTCTTCTCGTATCGCTCTGACGTAAATATTGGCGCAATATGCCTTCTCAGACGCGTCGCAAAAACCATGCAGCTCAACAGGTTGGCCTGGAGAATAGTTCACCCAACGAGGAATTTGGATTGCTGTTATGGCTTTTAAGTTGTTCGCGAACTGCGTCCACTTGACGAGACGGATGGGTTTTACCTGTTCATCCCAGTCGGTTCCATCAAGCCATAGCTCCTGCAAGAGAATTTTGGCGCTAGCCATCCTGCGGGGTCGAAAAGTTTGGCGACAGAGGAGAGGATTTGTCGCTTCGTGCTCGCTGTGGTTACTGGGATGGACTCAACGGTATATGAGAATGCATCTTTTATGGCATTCCATTGAATCCCGAGCGTTTTCGTCGTACTTGCCTTTTCGAATTCGAGAAACTGTGAATCGAGCACGTCGGCGATGGGAACGGTTTTGAGGATATCAGGATGGTTGGCCGTGATTTTCTTGAGGGGGAAGCCTGCCGACAGAAGAGCTTGTCTGACTTGAGAAAGGGATTCAGAGGCTGAGAGGATAGAGTGCCCACCCGAAAGTATGTCGTCTACATATGTTTCGCTCATTAGTATTTGGGACGCCATCGGGAGTGTGTCTTTTATATCTTTAGAGAGTTCGTGAAGGGTGCGTATTGCGAGATAAGGGGCGCAGTTGAGACCAAACGTGACGGTTTTTAGTTTGAAATCTTGAATTGGACCTTTTGGGGAGGAGCGAAATATGATTCTCTGGTAATCTTGGTCCTCATCGTGTAATAGTATTTGGCGGTACATTTTTTCTACATCGCCATTAAAGACAAATTGGTACGTGCGCCATTTGAGGATTAATAGCATCAAATCGGGTTGGAGGGTTGGCCCGGTGTAGAGGACATCGTTTAACGAGTTACCGGAAGTTGATTTTTTCGATGCATTAAAGACAACACGCACCTTTGTCGTTCTTTTTTCAGGTTTTACAACCGCGTGGTGGGGTAAATAAAATGACGAGTATTTGTTTCCTGAGGATTTCTCATAGGAAGTTGTTTCTTCCATATGACCTAGTGTTATATATTTCTCGAGGACTTGGTCGTACTGGGATTTTAGCTCGCCTTTTTTGAGAAGATTTTTCTCCATACTGAGGAATTGCTGGAGAGCTGGGGCACGGGATCGACCTAAGGTGAGTTGGTCTGGGAAACTGTGCTTAAATGGGAGTCGCACTTCGTAACGACCATCAGATGTGCGTGATATGGTGGATATATAAAAATCTTCACACACTCGGTCCTCAGAGTTGAGAGATTTGGGAGTGGGGATTTCTTCAAGTTCCCAAAATTTTCGAAGTTGGGAATCGAGATTCTCATTTGAGACTTCGTCTACTTGGGTCGAAAACGAGCTTATTTGATTGGGGACTTGACCACTAAGGATCCACCCAAAGATGGTGTTTTGTGCTAATAAGTTTTTGGAGAGTTTTTCAACCCCTTCTAGCACAATTTGTGGGATCAGGTCGCTGCCAATGACTAAGTCTATTTGGGATGGGGAGTGGCAATTGGCGTCTGCTAAGGTGAGATGAGACCATTTTTCCCGTTGTTCTTGAGTGGGTTGGAACTTGGGTAGCAATTTGGTTAGCTGTGGGAGGACGATTGCTTGTGCTTTAATCCGTGTGGATAAATCGTTTGAGACAAGAACCAGAGAGCATAATTTTTTCGAGGTTTGGACTACCCTTCCACCCATTCCTGAGATTTCGAAATTGGAGGTTCGACATGGTAGTCTCAATTTGAGTTGCGCTTTGGAGGAGATGAAGCTCCGTTCTGAGCCCTGATCAATGAGGGCTCTTAGTTTGAAGAGTTCCCCTCTGTGTTCAACGGAGACGATTGCCGTCGGGAGTAGTACTTTACTTTCATTTTCGGAGTAGAAGGATTGTACCTGGGACTTATTTGAACACGAGGGTTGCTCGTCTTGTTCTTCCAGAGACTGGGGAGTTTGGAGACTGGCACTGGTGGAAGTGGTAGTTGCCACTTGAGATGAGGCCTTATGCACTCGGGGAGTTGATGAATTTTTTGAGAGTGCGTCATCATGGAGTGATGAGTTGTGCCGTTCTTGGCAATGAGCGCAATTGTGAGGGCTTCTGCAATCTTTAATTAAATACGATTGGGATAAGCAGTTTAAGCACATGTGATTATCTCTCACAAATTTTTTTCGATCCTGAATTGACAGTTTTATAAATCGGGAGCAGCTGTAAATGGGATGCTGAGAGGTTTTGCATAATGCACATTTATACATTGTGCGCTGCTCTGTCATATGAGATTGGATCTTTGAATGGGATTTATTGTGAGTGTCATGTGAATTATTGCTTTTAAATGCGTATGGGTTTTGTTTAGGGTAGCTTGTATGCGGGGGGATCGATTTAACCTTGGCTGGGCGCCACTGATCTACTCTTTCTACCACCTCATAGCGAGTAGTCAGAAACTGGTTCATCTGGGACCAGTTGGGGAGGTCTTTTCTGGAGATGAGAGATTGTTCCCACAGAGTTACTGTGTTCTCC